AAATCAAAGCATTACAACAAGACAGAACAAAAACTTTATTTCTGTATCAACATTTCACTTTAAGTGTTTATTTTTTATTTACATAAATACCTTAAATAAAAATTTAAAGGATTATAACTCTGGCGTCACAATACTCTGTTCAATGCAATACATCTTTCGTTGCTGATACAGCTACTATTATATCATACACACCGTATATACCATACCACACGCTACATGTAGGTCTTTTTATTCATTATACCCCCGCTTGAGAAGCGGGAGGGTATATAGTGATCGTAAATTCCGTCCGTCCGTCCGTCCGTCCGTCTGTTACGCTTTAGGGTACCCATCTCTTATCCGCAACTCCTCTCATACCACTGAGTGAAATTTAATGAAACTTTCACAGAATCTTTATTACATATTGCCATTGTGCACCTCCTATTTTACTTTTTGATCTGACACATATTTTGGGTTTCCCGGCCATGGCAAAACATGGACTTTGTCATCAGCTATAAACATTTGGGAGGCGGGGGGTATCATTTAGTGAGCTCATTGCTCACAGTAATTCTAGTTTCTGTAAAAAAAAAGAGAAAAATTTGTATTGGATTAGCTTTTTACTCCAAGTACTGCACTTTAGATATACATTGTATAAAGAAAGAATACAAACGAATCTTTAATACTTAAGTGACAAAATATTTGTCCGCAATAAAATACATTCAAATAATAACGGGCTTATTTATCGAGAAAACATGAGAATCCCTGAGGCATATCCCAATCAGCATAGGGATCCCCAGAAACTGCTCTCATCCCCCCCCAAAAAAAATCCCAACAAAGTAATGATTAATCTTTTTTTGGCTGGAGTAGAGTAAAAAAATGCTGACTTACAAAAAGAATGTCGGATCGAAAATTTTCTCTTTTCACCTAAAATAATATATTTTTTTCAATTTTGCAGGCAGAGTACTAAATAATCTCTAAATAGGGCAAATTGTTAATTTTAAACTAGCATTCTTGACCTCCATATTGGACCTAAAGAACAAGTTTGTGAGACAACACTCTAATGTAATCATTTAAAATGAATCAGATATAAATATTTTGTTGAATATTTGAAATACAACGCCTCCCACACCCCCAAATGATTTTACTATCCTTTTTACTATCCTTAAGTTCTTTTAATTTTAAAATGATAAGGTATTTTATGAACGACATGTACAACGAACTGTATTCATTTATTTGCTATCACTGTACGGTTAAAGTCTATGACTCCCTCTGAACATATATTATTTTTCTAAAGGTTTTTTTTTATTGCTTCAAATACTATCCGGCATTTTGATAATCTAAACTAGAGGTACTGTGAGCGATGAGCTCACGTAATTATATCCCCCGCCTCCATATAGTTATAATAGCAAAGTCCATGTTTGTTGTGGCCGGAAAACCCAAAATTTGTGTCGGATCAAAAAGTAAAATAGGAGGTGCACAATGGCAATATGTAATAAAGATTCTGTGAAAGTTTTATTAAATTTCATTCAGTGGTATGAGAGGAGTTGCGGATAAGAGATGGGTACCCCAAAGCGTAACAGACGGACGGACGGACGTACAGAGGGACGGACGGACGGAATAAACGATTACTATATACCCTTCCGCTTTTCAAGCGGGGGGTATAATGAAAGAAAAGTCACATGAAATTTCAAATTTTGATCTGTCCCTCAATGCATTTGTGGAATATGAAGTTACATACAAACATAGTGAGTGTTTAGTTACTAATACATTCATCATAGGGATATTGTGCATTTCCTATTTTCTTTTGCTTCATTTGGGGCGGGTGGGGTTGGGGCAAGGGGTGGGATTGGGCTTAGCTTTTAAAAAAAAATTACGATGTACTTGTTTATATTATCTCATTAAGAAGTTTGATTTATATCTTACGATTTATGTAGATATTGAAAAATTATGTAGATATTAGAGATTGTTCTCATCCTACTCTATCCGTATCCATATACGTATCCGTATCCGTATCAAGATATGAAAGGCATCTCGATCTGATGTCTCAACCATTTAATACAATTTCCGTTTCTGTTTGTGGTTAAATAAGCCACAGTCAGGCAACGGAAAATAGCAAATGGCAATTTTTCTATTAAAAATACTAAACTGCTGTAAACCTCTTTCATTTCGTAGAAAAATATTTATTAAAAAAAAGAATGAATAAATAAATTCAAGTTTAAAATATTTCATTTTAACTATTTTGTTTGAAATTAAATTCATTTTGTTTCAAAATATTTGTAGGAAATCTCCTTTCTCTTTTTCCTCTCGCTTAATATCAGGATATTTTATTGATATATTTTGAATTTGTCATATACCTTTACACGGTACATGTATAACGTGTATAACCCCCCTCCCCCCTCACACACACTGAAATACAAAATACGTTATCATCAACGCGGTTGATAAAACACTGTAGCCGTTTTTAAAGAGACTATTCAAACTGGTTTCATAATTCGCTTCAGGACCGTTACAAGTATTGAGTATATGCATTGAAGAGCCTGTTCAACTCCCTCGTTTCACCTCCCCTCACACTGGCGTCATAGGTAATCAAAAGAAGGGAGGGGGAGGGGGGGGGGCGAATCGAAAGAGAAAAATATAAGTCCTACAAAACTGATACAAGCAAAAAAAGTACTTAAACACTATTTTGTGTGTGGGCGGGGGGGGGGGGCGAACATTTTTCATCGCCATTTTTTTCTAACACTACCACTTACGCTACTCTTCTTTGACTGCAATACAACATGCCTTTTGAAAGTGGAAAGGGAGCTAATCCTAACGCCCGCAGCCCCCCCCCCCCCCCCCGTTCCGGCGTGCTCCGCCTCCTGTGCTTCACAATGTGCACACACGTCATTTGATAACGTCTTTTACTATCATTCATTAATCATTTGTGGTTTGATATAAAAACTATTTCAGAATATGGTATTCAAAAAAATATAATCTCAGATCTTTTTATGCTAGAAGATCAAAATTAATATGGCTCAAAATTTTCAGAAAATAATACATCTTATTTTGCTAAGTCTACTTGTCCATCGTGTGAATTTTTTATCCGACTTTCTTTTATTTATATGTACAATTTGGCCGAGATCAGAATCATCGTGCAGAGCGAAAGAGAAGGAACTGCTTCAATGTAGCCAAGAAGAAAAATCACGCATTAAAAGAAAAATTACAGTGATGAAAATACATGTATCAAAGTTTTTCAACAGCTCTGCTTTGTTCACTATAAACTCGATCATGTAACTTTCATAAAAAGAAGTTAATATGCAAGTAGAATAGTTTAAGAAAGGAAGATACATCGTAACCTAACATTTACTTTTCTCCCCCTTTATCGACAAGTGTTAAATCAATCAAGTACTACATATACTGCGTTTATTCGCAACTCTGTCGGAAATTGTACATAATCAATTCTCAAGCTCCTTGAAACCCTGGATACGCATAGGCGTCAGAACCGGGGGAGGGGCTTAAGCCCCCCCCCCCCCACCCCTATTTTCTTGCAAAATTAGACATTAGACATAATATAGGCATTTAAAAGTGGGGTTAACCTTTTTTGTTGGTTTAGCCCTTCAATTAATGCCCCTCACTATTTGCCTGCGCCGCCCATGATACGGCTATCGACGTACAAATTAGGGAGTGTATTTAAACCGCCCCAGAATTACCAGCTATCCAATTTTTTTTCTGGAGAACTATGGCCATCAAATACGTTATAATTAATGGCGTAGAGGATGATAAAAAAAAAGAAAAAGAGGATGGGCGTTTTCAGTAAATCCCCCATACACATTTGTTTTGCAATATGGTGAAATCTTTCCCAGTTAATGTACAATTACATGTTTTTACAATTAATTTACAAGTTTGAGATAAAGAGGTTTAACTGTATAATTATATATTTTTGGGGATATGTCGTGTAAAATTCTTGTAAATATTAATGTTAATTTTAGAATGAAGAATGAATACCCTAAGAGAGAGAGAGAGAGAGGGAGAGAGAGATTTTCGAACAATTTCCTACACATTTAAATAATTTAAATCATGCTTGTTTTTCTAATTTTATTTTTAAACTTTTACCCCCTCCCCTTCTCCCCCCAAAACATGATGCATAAGGCGTGTACAACAAATGATATGTTTTTTATTAAAAATATCACACTACATATAATTTTTTAGTGAATGAGGTTAAAAATCAAACATGAAACGATTGACTTGTAACCAGATTGTTTAGACATCGGGATCGAGATGCCTTTCATATCTCGATACGGATACGGATACGTATACGGATACGGATACGTCAGATAGAACAATCTCTAATAGAAATGTAAATATTTAAATAGACGGACAAGGTGTTTTATCTATTCAAAACTTTTCAATAGGCATATTATGTTTCATAAACATATGCTTTTGGAAGAATATTGTTGGGGGTGTCTGGAATTTGCTGTCATGAAAGGACAAGCATAGAGAGAAAAAGCATGAGTGTTGGAAGAGATGATCAAAAACTCAAATAGTAAATGTGCCTTTATATAATCAAGGACAAACGAATTTTGCATATGATTAACAATGTCTGCATTGGTTCTCAATGTAGTTTGATAAAATCATAATGTAAATTGTTCTCTCCAAACGTTTGAAAATATCGAACATTTATCATGAAGAAAAAAAAAAGATTTTCACAATAAATTGTAAATATATGTACAACATGCCAGATTCAAATAGATAATTTTTATTTATGTCAGAAAAATATGCATAAAAGAGGCTTACAAATCAATATGAACAAAGAAAGATATCTAATTTAGCAAAACATGTTAACAAACTTCGTCAGGAATAAAGTTTTTATATAAATTAATTGTAGAATTTTTCTACTCACAAGTTCATTCATTCAAGTAATTTTTATAATACTTAATTTTAAAGAATTGCATTTCATTTATACATTTTCCCTTACCAATACATAAAACAATTTTAAGTGCAATATTAAAATTATTATTCAAGGTTTAATAGTCCATAATCCAATACAAAATAGAAACAGAAAAAAGGACTATAGCAGCATGTTTTATGTCAAAATATAATTTTTCCCTCCCTCAATAATTTATTACGCAAGATATTCCTTTTACTTCAAATTAAAACATTTTCTAATCTTTAATTCTTAAAATTTGCTTAAAGCGCTTGCTCCTCAATGAGGAAAACGTGCCCCATTTTACTGTAGCTGTTATTCTGTTGTTTGCAGAACAGGCTGACAATGTACAATGTCAAAAGAAAACCTGCTAAAGCAACAAGAACAATAATTCCCTGTCGAATTTGTTTGGTCTTTGTGCTGTCATCATCTTTTATGTTCTGCATGTCTGTTTTATTTGGATTTCTAGTAGTAAATGATATTTTTCTGTTCTTCTTCTCATTTTTGAAATTATAATGGAAATAAGGATTGGTTTCAGTTTTTAGGGTTGTGTTTCCTACTTTTTCCTTTTCTGTAACAATATTGAAAAAAAAAATATTTTGATTAAAACAACAAACTATTTATTATTCATAAATTTGACTAAGTACAGAGAAGTACAATCTAAAATATATGCGTGGTGTTTCAATTTATTTCTATTTTTTACGCATTGTAATTTTGAATTATGTAATTAATGTTTTTTTCTTAAAACAATCCTTTATGCAATCATATATGTAAAGTTTTGCAATATTTTGGAATAAAAGTCCATTATTTAAATCTTTATATGAAAAAAAAAACCATAAATATGGGGTAAAAAAAACCTCATTCACTTTAGTCATATCAATACAATTTATATTATTATTGTCAGAATATTTTTTTTTTTTTCTTTCCTTATCTTGATATTTAAAGTTTAGCTTTCTTTTACATTAAAATATTTTTTTTTATATAACGTCATCGTCAGATAGATGTGTACAATTGTTGCTGTTTTTAATTTACAAGTAGTTCTCTTTTTTCCAAGCTAACACTTCTAAAATTTTATAGAAATAGTCTGACACCACGAAAATTCAATCTTGAAAATATACATACCATTCAATACATTTGTGATGCACCCATGGGCAAAATTGCAATTTTGGATATGACAGACACATTTACTTTGGCAAAAAAGTCCAAAAGTTGGAAAAGGGCACTTTATTTCGCAATGTCGACCAATAAACCCTTCCGGGCACTCTGTGCCGAAAAAAAGTTTAATTAAATATCATACATGTACTTGATTCATTTTTATAATTTACAGTCCACATATATACAATACATCTATGTTTTGTAAATGAACTGTCCTTAACAGAATCTCTAACATTTTAATTATCTAGATTTTTCAAAATAACGTTCGACATTTTAAATCGAAAATAATGAACATATTGATTGAACTCTATGAAGTCATTTTTTTAAAGCAAATCAGCACTGTCAGTTAAAGAAAAATAAATGAATAAATCAATAAATAATTTTGAAGAAATAAGTAAATGTAAGTAACTTACTAACACAAGTTTTGGTTTTGTTGTCCAGAGAATATCCAGAGCAGCAATCAAATGGGCTAGTTCTGAAATATAGATAAAACATGTTGTTTACAAATTCCTTACTGATTATAAATCTTACTTTTAAGCATAATTGAAAAATAAAGTTATCATAAGAAGAATACCCTTTGCAAGGTTTTTGAGACTCTGGACTGCTTGTTACAAAAACTATAAGATACAAAAGCAAAAAGATATATTTTATTCTCTTTTCCTTCATTTTTGGTGTTCAATATCCAACTAAAAGAGTTCTCTCTTAGTTCAAATATTTCCTTTTAAACATTGTGGAATGAATGATATCGTAAATCTCTATCTTTCCTGTGTGAAATACTCATTGTTATTAATTAACAACAGGAAGAAATATCCAAAGAAAAACAGGAAACTATCAAATATGTTTCATATATTTTTTTTCTTTTTTATACATAATTATTAAACATTATATAATTAATTGAAAATTTTATTCTCGGATGTATATTTGGAACTTCATATCTAAATAAGGCATATTATATACGCTCCATTAAAAGATATAAACACTTGTAATTTAAGAAATCAAAAAAAAAAATTTTAATCAGAAAATTCTTTTACACTGTATACATGTATTTAGCCCTAGTGTCGTTATACATGATGAACTTTGAACAGACTTGGCGGAAAAGTATGACGTTTTATGTTGTACTGAGTAAGAAAGGTCTATGAAATGCAGCTGTAGTAAATGCCCTTAAAATTCAGCACAATTTAAATATATTTTTCCCCCCTTATCTCAG